ATGGTTATATTCTTCGAGGAAAGACCACCCGCCCAGACCTATCAGTGTCCCGCCAATCAGCTGACCATCAATACAAACATACAATAGGATTAACACACATTCATTGGCATAAGAGTTGATTCAAATATTACCCAAAATATGAGATTAAAGAAGAAAAGCGAATATTTAAGACACGGAGAGATGAATGAGAACTCGTCGTCAAACGTGTGAAGAATGGTATTCTGACCGCACGGGTGGCCAGAAGTGTGCGCTCGCGACGAGTGGTGCGACCGATGAGGTCGTTGCCAATTGTGACCACCGCTCGACTCACCCCTCGACTGACCATCTCTTCGAGCCATCGCTCACTCAATGGTCACCAATTGTCACAACACTTGAATCCAATGATAATGTACTCCTAAACAGCGTTTAGCGCTCCGATCGATGTCTCGGCCGCCGATGTCTTCAATTCAAACATATATTCACACAATTAGTGATGAATGAAATGAGCGATCGATTGGTTTGTAAACAATTGTCAATCAATTGAATGACAAAACAGTTTCAAAACAAATCAATGTTTGAGTTATTAATCAAATAAAATGAAAGACTTGTGAGTCGTTCACAGACTTGAGAGCGCATGCGTCCAATGGATGGCACTTTTGAATCACTTTTGTTGACAAAACAAATTAACAATACATTCAATACATTCAACACTCAATTGTTTGACAACTTTTTCACATCACTTAACCTTTGTTTGCGACCAATGGTTGGGCCATTTGTGGCCATCGGTGGCCACTTTGCCGACACTTAGTCTGGTTTTGTTAGATGTTTAGCTGAAGACACGCCCAACAGTTGGGCCAACACTAGAGTGAAGAGTAGAGCCATTCCCACAACACTTGACGTCAAATTGATTTTGTTTTCAAACATAAACTTTGCATTTGTTTTGATTTGTAATTAATTTGTTTGTTATTTAATTGTTATTTTGTTTTTGATTTACTATTTATTAATGAATCCATAAAACGCTTTATTTGACGACAACTTTATTAGTTTACTGTAATTGACGTTAATTTTGGACTAATTTTTTGACGACAAATGTCTAAAATGGTTGACGAGTGCATTGTCTCCGGCATTGAGCCCAAGACTATTGAGG